GAAAGTGTCGTAAAGAAGTGCATAAATGAGCCTCAATCTTCAGATAAAGGTAATTACACCGAGATCTTTAGTCTGAGCTGTTCCTCAGACTGTTCTCCTCAGATCTTTCTCCGCGTCATAGTCGTTTCTTCTCTCTGACCTTCTGAAGTTTTATTTGGAGCGATTCACGTTTGAGGAATCTTGAATCGTTTTCTTTGGACACCACAGTTTTTCTAACACTGAAGTCGTTTTCAGATCAGTTGAAGTTGAAGATCTTTTTCCATTTGATTGTTATTGTGATAAAATAAGTTCCACTTCGCTGGTTCCAGAAGAGCAGAGCGAGGACGAGCCTCCAGTGGACCAGGACTGACCCTTTTATGCACAAAACATTAAAATCTCTCGGTGAATTGTTTCTTTGGGGATCAGATAAATCTTGTAATCCACAGAGGCTCCTGGAACACGACGCAGACACACTGTGGGATGAGAGAAAAGACGGTAATCCTCAAAAAGAGCACAGTGGAAACCAGATTCTCTTGATCTTTCTGTTCTAACTGTGACATTTTAAAGCTCAATATTGATCTAACAAGAAAATATATAAAGTGAAACTGTGGTGTCCAAACATTCCAGGCAAAGCAACAACATCACCCTGAAGAAAAGCAAAAAAGTGGAGCTTTATTAACTTTTTTTTTCCATTTTCAGCCTTTGGAGTTACAGAGCCTCCTCCTGCAGCCAACTTTGGTCCACAGCTCCAACCAGACCACCTCGAAGTCACAAATTTACCCCAAAAAACTGCTCCCAAAGTCAGTCAGAAGAGAGGAGGAGAGCCCTGGTCCACTCCTCCACTTTCATAGCACCTTTCCACAACATCTAACGCCAGAAACCGCTTCCTAATTCAGTCAGAAGAGAGGAGGAGAGCTGTGGTCCACTCCTCCACCTCCTGACCACGTTTCAGGAGCATCTTTACCCCAAAAACTGCTCCTGAAGGCAGCCAGAAGAGAGAAGAACATCTCTGGTTCACTGCTCCAAACAGACCAGCACCTTTTGCCAACATCTAACCCCAAAAACTTCTTCCCAATTCAACCAGAAGAGAGAAGGAGAACCCTGGTCTACTCCTCCATCTCTAGACCACTGCGAAGCCACAACTTTTCCCCAAAAACTGTTCTCGAAGTGAGCCAGAGACAGAGAGCTCTGGTCCACAGCTCCACCTCCTGACCACCATGAAGCCACAACTTTACCCCAAAAACTGCTCCTGAAGTGAGCCAGAAAAGAGGAGAACATCACTGGTTCACTGCTCCAAACAGACCAGCACCTTTCACCAACATCTAACCCCAAAAACAGCTCAAAAAGTCAGATAAAAGAGAGACAGAGGCCCTGGTTCACAGCTCCCACCAGACCGCGGCTAAACCACATCTTTACCCTGAAATGACTCCCTGTCTGAGCCAGAAGAGACGAGGAGAACCCTGGTCCACTCCTCCACCTCCAGACCAGCACCTTTCAACAACGTCTAACCCCAGAAACAGCCCTCCGTGTCGGGCAGAAGAGCGAGAGCGCCCTGGTCCACAGCTCCAACCACACCTGGATTTATTTAAGTTTTATTTAAATTTCTAACACAACTTTTAACTTCAGTCACTAATGATCCACCCAAAGAGGAAAAAATAACAGAAATGTACCTGTTTTTGGAAGACGTTTAGGATTTTTCAAATCATTCTAACTCTGTGTATTTTCATTAGAACATGGCCATGAAAACAAGAGTCTGAGATGAGATGTTCTGACGAGCAGCGATTGCCTTGTGTTTTGGAACTTTTTAACATGAAAATTAACTGAAAAACTTAACATTTCTGAGCCAAATCTGGACTGAAGACTGTTAACGTTCCCCCCAAAAGCATGTGTGTGTTTTTATGTCCAGAGCATGTCCCTGATGTCCACGTGCAGAAGGACAGAGAAACACAGGTCCTCAGAAAGACAGAGGAGGTCCTCAGAAAGACAAAGGAGGTCCTCAAAAAGATGGAGAAATGGCTGAAACTGAATGAATCAAGTGTCAAACGGACTCTTCAGTGTGAGAATCTCCAGGACTGTACGAATGTTTATGTATTTTCTGTTTTTCTCTCGTTGGTCCTGGAGGTCGACGGTCCCGCCCACTTTCAGGTCCACTCTGGTTCTGGACGCTAAATTTCTATTTTTCCCACAGACTTTTCAAAAAATTCTAATCTTAAAAAGAGGGTTCCTCATCACTAACCGATCTGAAGAGGTTTTAGAGTCCTCCATGCATGTTTGAGTAATCTAGAGATCTCTCCCGGGCCCTATTCAAACCCTCCGCCCCCCCCCCCCCCAGGCTCCCACACGACAACTCTCCATAAAAACACAAAAATGCGACACAAAACTGAACACAGCGACGCGACAAACCTGATTTCTGTGCAGGAGGTTCGTTAGTGCGTCGCAGCGTGTGTGTGTGATAGTGCTCTGAAGGGGGAGGGACGTAGAGTGGAGAGTAAAGAGAGAGAGGGGAGACTCAGAACGACAAAAATGAAAGTCAAATACGTTGTTTTGGGCGAATTTAACATTTTCAGAACAATAAAATGAACATGGAGATCGAAATATGACACGTGTTACAGTGAAAACCCCACAGAGGTATAATACTCCCCACAGGTATAATACTCCCCACAGGTATAATACTCCCCACAGGTATAATACTCCCCACAGGTATAATACTCCCTCTTTCCTAACTGTCGGCTGTAGTTTTAGTCTCATTTTTTCGGCTCTTGGCGTCTGAAAACCTTTGTCCGTTAAATGATTTCAGATTGTTTATCGCTGAGCCGCGGAGACGAGTGTCGAGTGACTCTGGACCTAAAGTTCTGCAATAATCAGTCACCAGCAGCGTTTAAGGTTCACGTCGTTTTTATTCTCGTTCTGATCACGTGACTTGTGTTTTTTGTTGACGGACGTAGAAGCTGCGACGGACGACGACGACGATTCTCTTTAGGTGTAAATATCTCGTTTGAAAAGCGAACGGACTGAAGGACTGAAGCGGTTCTGTTTCCTCTGGTTTTACTGTTTAACTCTGTACATATGTTTTTGTATTTTTTTATGTCTCATAGTCGCGCCATAAATGTAACGTTTGTTTAATACGAGGAAAAACGTTTAAACGGATTCAATAAAACACTGCACTTAGTCTGACCCTCTGCTCCTCTGCCTCTGCTCCTCTGCTCCTCTGACCTCTGCCCTCTGACCCTCTGCTCCTCTGACCCTCTGCTCCTCTGCTCCTCTGCTCCTCTGACCCTCTGCTCCTCTGACCCTCTGCTCCTCTGACCCTCTGCCCTCTGCTCCTCTGCTCCTCTGACCCTCTGCTCCTCTGACCCTCTGCTCCTCTGCTCCTCTGACCCTCTGCTCCTCTGACCCTCTGACCCTCTGCTCCTCTGCTCCTCTGACCCTCTGCTCCTCTGACCCTCTGCTCTGACCCTCTGCTCCTCTGCTCTCTCTCCTCTGCTCTGCCCTCTGACCCTCTCTCTGCTCCTCTGACCCTCTGCTCCTCTGCCCTCTGCTCCTCTGCTCCTCTGACCTCTGACCTCTGACTCCTCTGCTCTGCTCCTCTGACCTCTGCTCTGACCCTCTGCCCTCTGCTCCTCTGACCCTCTGACCCTCTGTCCTCTGCTCTCTGACCCTCTGACCCTCTGACCTCTGCTCCTCTGCCCCTCTGCTCCTCTGCTCCTCTGCTCCTCTGACCCTCTGCTCCTCTGACCCTCTGCTCCTCTGCTCCTCTGACCTCTCTCCTCTGCTCCTCTGACCCTCTGACCCTCTGCTCCTCTGACCCTCTGCCCTCTCCTCTGTCCTCTGTCTGACCCTCTGCTCCTCTGACCCTCTGCTCCTCTGACCCTCTGCTCCTCTGACCCTCTGTCCTCTGACCTCTGTCCTCTGACCCTCTGTTCCTCTGACTCCTCTCTGCTCCTCTGACCCTCTGCTCCTCTGACCCTCTGCTCCTCTGTTCCTCTGACCCTCTGCTCCTCTGACCTCTGCTCCTCTGACCCTCTGTTCCTCTCTGACCCTCTGACCCTCTGACCCTCTGCTTCCTCTGACCCTCTGCTCCTCTGACCCTCTGTTCCTCTGACCCTCTGCCTCTGACCCTCTGCTCCTCTGACCCTCTGCTCTCTCTGACCCTCTGTTCCTCTGTTCCTCTGCCTCTGCTCTGACCCTCTGCCCTCTGACTCTGACTCTGCTCCTCTGCTCCTCTGCTCCTCTGACCCTCTGCTCCTCTGACCCTCTGTTCCTCTGCTCCTCTGACCCTCTGTTCCTCTGCTCCTCTGACCCTCTGACCCTCTGACCTGTTGCTCGCCAGTCCACAGACGTTGCTTCTTTCTGTAGAATCCGAATGAAAGTTCAGATTATTTTATTGTTTTTTTTGTAGATTTGTGTCATATTTGGGTTGTTTTTTTTCAGGTTGTTTTTGGTTGTTTTTGTTTCGTGCGGTGGTGCACAGACACTCGAGGGTTTACGGTGGAAGTTTCTGGACAAACTGTAAATGACAAATTCAAGCAAATAAAAGTGGATTTTATAACATTTGTGCTGCTTTGAACTTTTACTCCCAGAAGAGAAAAGCCCCTGACGCCGGTGAGACTGAGCGGACTCGGAGTTTGGGCTCGGAGTTTGGGCTCGGAGTTTGGGCTCGGAGTTTGGGCTCGGAGTTTGGGCTCGGAGTTTGGGCTCGGAGTTTGGACTCGGAGTTTGGGCTCGGAGTTTGGGCTCGGAGTTTGGGCTCGGAGTTTGGACTCGGAGTTTGGACTCGGAGTTTGGACTCGGAGTTTGGGTTAGTGTTGCTGGAATAATCCCGTTAGGAGCTTTGTTAATCCGATTGTCATTTCAGGCAGGGGTCAAAGGTCACAGACAAAGGACAAACTGAAAAGAACGACTTTTGATGAAGATAATTGAAAAAAGAGAACGATTCAGATTTAAATTAGAGAAAACTCGACTCTTGGACTCACAGCAAACGTCTGTGTTTATTAAGATTCTACAATATGATGATATCATAGACTGAATAAAAAATAGATTTAGAATCACATAAAACACATTTATATATATTTATATATATTATTATTATTATTATATTATTATAAATTTATTCATAACATCTGCGTGTCAAACTCTCAAATGTGCCCAGAGCCACATTTCTATTTTCCTTTGAACTAAACCTGGTTATTTCTATTATTACAACAAAAATCTAATTGAACATTTTATTGGATCTTTTCCTGATCTGGAGGTTTTCAGATTCTAGAGTCTGATGACGTCTCAGACGGGGTCAAAGGTCAGATTTCTCTCTTGTTCTTTGTACTTTGTCATGAAATATCCAAAAGGTAAATGCACAAAAGTTGAATCTGTTCATTTTCATGAGTGATTTGACTCAAGAACTCACTGTTTTATAACAAAAATCTACATTTAAACAATATTATTTTTATCTAACCCCATCTGTAAAAATGATAGAATGTTATGATGTCATCTGAAACCAGTGATTAAACACTGTTGTCGAACAGAAAGTTGTGGAAACCTGTAATAATATTAAAAAATCAATAGTTGAGCTGATTCTTCAGTAAATATAATCATATTCTTTTGGGTCTCATGTTGATGTGTGAAGATAAAAGTCCAGTTCTGTGCAGTTTGGTCACAGTGGGGATGTAGCTCAGTGGTAGAGCGCATGCTTTGCATGTATGAGGCCCCGGGTTCAATCCCCGGCATCTCCAGGGGAAATGTTTTTATTCCTGTCTTTACACACGAACACAAAGAAAACCACACAAACAGACACTTTTTACAGAAACAATATTATTTTAGAATAATAGTATTGTACAAATCCACCTGTAAACATTTTTGAGTAATATTATTGTACAAATGTAAAAGTGTAAACATCAGAGTTTCCTTCGACTGAAGGATTTTTGGCTGAGCTGAATCCGGGTCGTTACTACGTGAATTTACAAATAAAACCTGAACAAAAACACACTTCTACAAATAAAACCTCCCGTAGAACCAGTGGCTCCTCCCTCCTGTGACGCCTCTCCATAAAATTATACAAATAAAATAAGAAAAATAAAATAGACTATAATAAAAATATAATACAGATATAATAAAATAATAAAATAATAAAATAATGAAATAATAAAATAATGAAATAATAAAATAATAAATAATGATCCCGGTGGCTCCTCCCCCGGTGGCTCCTCCCCCCGGTGGCTCCTCCCCCCGTCTCTAGGAGACCTCCGGTGTTTACTAAAGATGTCCTCCTCTTCCTCCTCCTCCTCCTCGTCCCGCCGCGGCCGTCTTTAGCTCCAGATGCTCTTGTCTTAGCGGCTCCCGGAGGTTTTTGGCTCCTGTTTCCTGTGGCTCTTTTCTGGATCGTTTCTTCCGCTTCAGAAATGCAGCTGAAACACCTGAAAACTCTGTTACCTCCGCAGGTGAGTGTCTGTTAGCCGCTGCTAACCGCTGTTAACCGCTAATGACGCAAATCTGGTAAGTGTTTCCAGGGCCACGCGCGCAAAGGCCGAGAGCCGCGGAGGAGCGCTGCACGATCCGTAACACCACACGATCTGTTCTTCTGTTCTGTTAAATCATGTTTCTGTGTTTTGAGTTCGTTTGCAGCGGGAAGATTTATGTATTTATGTTTATTTATTCAGTTTATTGATGAGACAGAGACAGGGACAGTCCACATCAACCCGGGGAAAACAGGTTTTTAAAAGTCGAACTTGGGACAAACTGGACTCCGGGATTTTGGCCAAACAAATGTAATTTATGCTCCTCTAGGTTAGTCCTGGGTTAGTCCTGGTTTAGTCCTGGTTTAGATCAGACTGGTCAAAAACAAAGACATTTGGGACATTTCTTGTATAAACTGGTTTTGTATAAATCTGCTGGGACACAGGGGACAGGACTGGGGACACAGGGGACAGGACTGGGGACACAGGGGACAGGACTGGGGACACAGGGGACAGGACTGGGGACACAGGGGACAGGACTGGGGACACAGGGGACTGTCCCGGGGAAACAGGAACGTCTGGTCACACTGTGAGTTTTTTTCTTGTAAATGAACTTGATCCGTGGATCATGTTCCACCTTAAAAGAGACATAACATCTCGTTTGACACTGTGGACACCAGAGGAGACACTAATCACTCTGTTTGTGTTTGTGAGTTTACAAGAGAAAACCAGAGAGTCCAGAACAGATTTATATAAAACCACTGATTTGTTATTTCAGTTTATACAGAAATGTCTCTGTTTTGGACCAATCTGATCCTGCAACAGTAAAGACACAGAAACTGACATTTGTTTGGGTAAAATACAGAAAATCTGCTTAAAAACGACAAAACACAAAGAAAATGTGACAATACTGATGAATTAATTAATTACACACTCGTTTAGACTCAGACAAACTTTGTTGATCCACAGGGAAATAATTTTGACACAGAGTCACACGTCACAATAAAATAAAATAACGAAGAGAAAAAAATATAAATGCGATAATAAATAAATTCTAAATAAGTTGCAAAAAACA